AAAAAAAAAAATTAGCTGGGCATGACGGCGTGCGCCTGTAATCCCAGTTGCTTGCTTGGGAGGCTGAGACAGGAGAATTGCTGGAACCCGGGAGGCAGAGATTGCAGTGAGCCAAGATCACACCACTGCACTCCAGCCTGGGCGACAGAGTGAGACTGTCACACACACACACGCGCACACACACACTGTTTGCCTCATATAGAAGGTAACACCATAAAAGTAAATACAATGAAAATAGGACCATTAAAAGTCGAAGGAGGTGTATTCCTCACACCCTCCGAATCCACCCCACACATCACCAGGTGTGCGTTTTCCACTCGTTGGGGAGCTCAGCTTCTCCCAACTTGCTCTTCCCCACGCTGGCGCCATTCCTCCAGGCCAGGAACATTTTACCCTCTGCCTCAAACAAAAAAGAAACATTTCATTGTTCCGTTCTTCTAGACCTTGCCTGTTGAGTCTTCCAAACAGCTGGTCCTTTAGGTTGAACTCAAAATTATACCCCAAGAGCAGGGTTTCTAGTGAGTTGATGGATGTCCTGTAGTCCTTAATCCAGGAGCTGTACTGATTTCCGAAAGAAACTAATTTCCTTTATCCAGAACTTTTAATGTATCCGTTGAAAAATAAAGTCTATTTTGCTGAGAGATGTAAAACCTTCCTCTGGGAGAAGGAATTAAACAAGCTGATACCAGACAAGGTTTCCACCTTAATGGATGGGGTGCCAGGGGTGATGAGGGCTCAGACCTCTCGGCCAAGAAGGCAGCTCCTGCCCCCATCAGGGAGGTTCACTCCTCTGTTGTTGAAACTTTTTCAGCAAATCCAAGACATGGAGAAAGAAATGAAGAAGCTCAGGGCGGAGCTGAGGAAGAGTTGTACTGAACAAAGCGTGATCTCTAGGACTCTGAGAGAAAAGAGCAAGGTACGTAGTGGGCGACAGGCCCAGAGAGTGGTGTGGGCAGTAGCTCCCCACTCATCATCCCTGTTAGTCCTCTAAGTGGCCTATGCTGGTATTAACCCTTCTTACAGCTGAGAAAACTGAGGCTCACACAGGGAGAGGGACCAAGTTCACTCCATAATGCAGTTGTGGCAGGACTTGAACCCAGGTTGGTCTGACTCCAAGGCCCCTGTGCGTAACCCAGCTACTCCTCACTGCCTTCTAAAACTGTTTCTTGCTTTTTGGTAATGAGACCCACCTCCAGCCTCCCAATCCCAGTTTAGAGTTTGGTGGTGCTTAATTATTTTAATGTCCCTTCCCATCCTGGGGAAAAAATTGTATTGCATACTCCCTACGTGTGCTATCCATCACAGTAGCCACTAACTGTGCATGGCTATTTAAATTTAAATTAAAGCCGACAAGGTAGCTTACACCTGTAATCCCAGTACTTTGGGAGACCAAGGCAGATGGATCACCTGAAAATATGCTTAAGAGTCCTGAGCAGTGTGGACAGAATGTATTTCTTTCCATTTGAATCATCTTCTTTATTTGATTAGAAGATGGTTGTCATTGAGGATTTGTTTTAAATAAATAAAGACAGAGATTCACTATGTTGCCCAGGCTGGTCCTCCAGGCCTCAAGCAGTCCTCCTGCCTCGGCCTCCAAAAGTGCTGAGATTACAGGCCTGAGACACCATGCCCAGCCACAACTGAGAATATTTTAAGAACAAATCTAAAAGGCAGAGGAATTCTGTGTGAAGGGAGGTTCACAGGGATGATCTGAGAAATAAAAGCAAATAATCTAGTTTTTCTCCAGTTTTATTTAATATGAATGTGAGTATAGTCACCAGAGGTCAAATCATTAAAACCTCACAAACTGAAATGTATACTACACTAGAATCACATCTTATGGATAGTATTGAAGCCTGCAAAAGTTGGTCAGACATAACTAGAATTGGCAGAAATAATTAACACAAAATTAAAATCAACAGGTAAAACTACACAGAGTAAAATTTATTTATCGATTAAAACTTAAGAGAAAAATCAAATATTCTTGTCCAGGTGCGGTAGCTCACGCCTGTAATCCCAGCACTTTGGAGGCCGAGGCAGGAGGGTTGCTTTAGGCCAGGAGTTCAGGACCAGCCTGGCCAACATAGTGAGACCTTGTCTCTACAAAAAATTAACATAATCACTTAAAAAAAATCAAATATTCTTGAAAAAGTTAGATTTGCAAAATATAATCTGGGGAAAATGGACATGGTAGAAATGAGAACTACAAAATAAAACCCACAATAACAGACCTGTGATTGGTAAATATTTGATAGGGTCCAGAAAAACTTATAGATGAATCAAATCATAATTGTATAATTTACCTACAAAAGAACTGATCCAGATAAAAATAATTTCAGGAGACTAAAGTGAAAATGGAAACATTTAGGAATCTGTTAAACAATTGGTTTAATGAACTTTGCTCTAGAAAATAATGAAAATGAAATGAAAATGAATTTGCTATGGTATATTTTTCTTTTAAATAGTTGTAGTCATGAACATGGAGTCAAAATGCTCTCTGGGCTATCAGTTTTTCTCTAAGCAAGGCTTTGGCTGCATTCCACAAGTCTTAGTATATAGTATTTTCATTATTATTCAGATCAAAATATTTTCCAAATCCCCATTGTGATTTCTTCTTTCACCCGCTGGTTACTATGAAGCTTATTTCCTAATTTCTAAATATTTGAGGGTTTTCTGCTTACCTTTTTTTGTTACTGATTTTTAGCTTAATTCCACTGTGGTCGGAGAACATCTTCTGTGTAACTTCAGTCTTCTGATATTAATTGAGACTTCTTTTATGACCTGCATGTGGCCGACTGCAGTTCCACACGTACACTTGAAAAGAATATGCATCCTGCAGTCATTGGGTTTAGTATTCTATATATGGACATTAAATGAAGCTTGCCAATAATGCTCAAAACTTAAATGTTTCTGTTGATTTTTTTTTGTCTGTGTGTTTTGTCAGCCACTGAGAGAGGCACGTTGTTTAAAGATCCTATCATGATCATGGATTTGTCTTTCTTTTTTTAATATTGTCAATCTTTGCTTTATATATTTTGAGGCTGCGTTAGTAGATGCATATATATTTACCATTTCATTACTTCCTATCGAATCAAATCTTTGGCCATCACAAGGTGCTCCTCTTCATTGCTAGAGATGTTTTTCCCTTAAAGTCTTTGTCATTAAGGTAATTCCATCGGCTAACCTAGCTTTCTTTTGATTCGAGTTTTCACAGACGATCTTTTTCACACTTTTTATGTCAATCTTTATTTTACAATGTGTATCTCATGTGAACAGCACATAAGTTTTATACAGTTTCGCCATCTTTGTCTTTCAGTCCAAATATATTTAGTGTAATTGCTGGTATATGGGGATTTAAATTTATCTTCTTGCTCAGGGCCAGGTGTACTACCTATGGTATGTTCCTTTTTTCCCCATTCTTCCCTTCTTTTGAGTTGACAGTTTTTTATCATTCCCTTTTTCCCTGTATTAGCTTGGAAATTTTCTCTCTTTTACTCGTCTTTTAATAATCATAAGACAATCGCATGCATTCATGACTTACCAAAATCTAATATTTAGTGAGTTTTTAACTCTTTTACTGTCTTAGTGATTATTCTAAATTTTACAATATGCATTTTCAACTTACCAAAATTCAATATTCATCAATAATTATATCCTTCTTCTTGTTAACACAATGACTTAGACGTTGACACTTTAACTTCACTTACCCCATCCAGACTTATATGCCATTGTTTTCATTTTCTAAACTTCTCTCTATATTTGAAACTCCAAAAGACATTATTAGTATTTTTCTATAGTCAACATCCATATCCACACATTACTATTATGTGTTTTCTACATTTCTGATCATTCATCTAGATCATTTTTCTTCAGCCTGAAGAACATCCTTTAGTGTTTTCCTTCAGCATGGCTCTGCTGGTGTCATATTCTCTCAGGAGTGTGTGTGTGCATGTGTGTGTGTGCACGCACGTGTGTGTATGCATGCATGTGTGTGTATGCATGTGCATGTGTCTGAAAATTTCTATGTTTATCCTTCATTCATGAAACATATTTTGACTAGGTATTCTACACTGGCAATTGTTTTCTTTGAGCATGTTATAGATGACAGTAAGTCTATCATTCCATTGTCTTTTGGCGCCAATTATTTCTATTTAGAAGTAAGTTATAACCTAGCTGGGCGTGGTGGCTCATGCCTGTAATCCCAGCACTTTGGGAAGCCGAGGCGGGCAGACCATGAGGTCAGGAGTTCAAGACCATCCTGGCCAACATGGTGAAACCCATCTCTACTAAAAATACAAAAATTAGCCAGGTGTGGTGGTGCATGCGTGTAATCCCAGCTACTCGGGAGTCTGAGGCAGGAGAATCACTTGAACCCGGGAGGCAGAGGTTGTAGTGAGCCGAGATCGTGCCACTGCACTCCAGCCTGGGCAATAGAGTGAGACTCCGTCTCAAAAAAACGACAGGAAAAAAAAAAAAGAGAGAAGTAAGCTATAACCTAACTATTGCATCATTATATAGTCTTTTTTATATTCTGGATTTTTAAAATGTTTCTTTTCCTTTGACTTACAGCAGTTTTATTAGGATGTATCTAGGTGTGAATTCGTTTTTATTTATCTTATTGGGGTGCATGTGGGCTTGAATCTTTGGCTTGCTGTTTTTCATTAGTTTTGGAGCTTGGGCTGTAGACTACCTAGGCAGTGAGGAGCTACTGAGGCTCTTGAACAGGGAACTAATACGATTAAATTTGTGATTAATAATAATGGTGAAAATGATAGCCACATGGACTTGGCCTTATGCCGAACATTTCATCTCTTTTCATCCTCACAACAACTCTGACCTAGAAATTATTATGCCCAATTTATTTTATTTTTTAAAATATATTGGAGCTTTTCAAGATTCCTGTTTTACAGATGAGGAAGTCAAAGCACAGAGTCAAGTCACTACCCAAAGGCACACAGTAAGTGGCAAAGCCAAGACTGGGGGAAGCCAGGCCTGTCTGATTCCAGTTACTGTGGCACAGCCACTAGCCACGTGTGGCCATTTAGGTGAAATTAAATATAACGTAAAATTCAGTTCCTCAGTCACAGGAGCCCCACTTCAAGTGCTCAGTAGCCAGATGTGACCAGTGGCCACCCTATATGACAGCACAGAGTTAGAACATTTCATCATTGCAGAAAGTTCTGCCAGACGGTGCTGCCCTACCGCTTGGCAACCTTCTCACAGGACCATGAGGGATGTTCTAGAAGGAAATAAATTAGAGGCAAGGAAGCCGGATATCACGGCCAAAGGTGCTCAGGACCTAGCCTGAGACCATGTGTATTAGTCCATTTTCACACTGCTGATAAAGACACACCTGAAACTGGGAAGAAAAAGAGGTTTAATTGGATTTACAGTTCCACATGGCTGGGGAGGCCTCCGAATCATGGCAGAAAGGCACTTCTTACATGGCAGTGGCAAGGGAAAAATGAGGAAGAAACAAAAGTGGAAACCCCTGATAAACCCATCAATTTCGTGAGACGTATTCACCATCACGAGAATAGCACGGCAAAGTCCGGCCCCCATGATTCAGTTACCTCCCCCTGGGTCCCTCCCACAACACTTGGGAATTCTGGGAGATACAATTGAAGTTGAGATTTGGGTTGAGACACCATCAAACCATATCACCATGCACAAGGGAGCAGCTCAATAAATAAACCTCTGACAGCCGATGCCAAGGGTCTGCTGTGGCAGTGATATGAGGAACAGGACTGCCAGAGCTGGGGATGGGGGCGGGGAGGCCATACATTGAGAGGAGGAGCCAGAACAGAGCCCAGGACAGCCTCTGCTTTTGCAGCATTTGAAAAACGTCCTCTGAAACAGAAGTCGGGGTATGTTTACACCTGAGAGGATGTAAGTGAGGAAACTGAGGCCCAGAGAGCTTAGCCGGCCTTCCCGGGAAACAGCTCACTGGGGACTGGCTGCCCCTTGCAACTCAGAAGAAAGCTTTACAGGTTGCTCTGGGTGTTTTACATGAAATGTATGTGACCCCTCTCTAGCCCCCTAATAAGCCACTTGTGAGGTTGTTTCAGAACAAAATCCTCTCATCTAGGAGAGTTTGTCTCATTGCCTAGGAGTGCCTGAGCCCTGGCTCAGCAGATGCCCAAAAGGTTCATGGTTTAGATATGAACTGAGCAGCTGCAGGGTCCTGTAATGGCCAGCAGAGGGCAGCACCGAACACACCCAAACTCACCTCGAGTTACCCATTACCCAAGCAAGCGGGGGTGGGGGGGAAATGGGCCTCTTTTGCCAGCTACAATTCTTTACTAGCCATTGCTTAGCGAGTCTTCCAGAGCAGTTTCCCTTGGTAAGTGTGCTAGAAGTGGTAACAATAAACAGTTACGATAATAAACCCAGCAGTAACATTTACCAAGTACCCACGATGGGCGGTGGTTCCTTATGGTGTTAGGATGACGCTGAATGGTGGCTACTGTCATCCACCTGTTCTAGGTTACAACATCTAACACCCTTATAGAGCCCTTACAAGGCGCTGTCACTATTCCAAGCTTTTTAAAATCCCCACAATAACTGCGAAGAGGGAACTAGTATCACCCCGTTTGACAGATAAGGGCGCTGAATCACGGAGCAGTGAAATGACTTTGCTGAGATTATACAGCTTGTTAGGGACCGAGCTGGGATTAGAGCCTGGGGTAGGACAAACATTGAGCCCAGGGTGCAGAGCCGGCCCTTTCCCCCAACAGACAGTCCCCCCCGAGCCTGCCTCCACCCCATGCACGCCTGTGACCCCTGCCATGTGGGCTGCAGCTGTGCCGACCCCTCTGGGACCCCCCACGGTCATTAGATGTCCTAGAGGAATTTCCCCAGAGTGCATTATGATCACATTAGCAGCAAGCACTCGCTTTCATCGTCATTTCAGGTTGAAGAGAAGCTTCAGGAGGATTCCAGAAGGAAATTGCTTCAGCTGCAAGAAATGGGGAACAGAGAGAGCCTCATTAAAATCAATTTGGAGAGGGCAGTAGGTCAGGTAGGCGTGTTCCAGAGCCCCCCTCATTGGCCCACGCTCCCCAGTGATTACACCCAAGCAGCCAGTGGGGGTGAGAGAGGAGGACGCCCAAGGTAGAAAGACAGACGTGCATTATTAATTCTCCCATTTATCTCATGAGCAGAGGCTGTCTGCAGCTCCCCACCCCCGTGGACATCGCTAAACAGGTTTCTGCTACTGGGAGGCCTCCCACTGGAATAGTTGACAATGACCTGAGACTCGGACCAGGCAGCCAATCCCGGCTCCATGCCTGCCCCCAGTTAACCGAGCCCCTTGCCCGCAGTGGTGTCTCTAGCATTTTCTCCCTAATGTTTTTAGTCCTGACATTTACCACAATCTTTCTTCCCCTCGGGCCCCAGCAGACATTGCAGTCAGTGTCTATAAGGAAATGCCACTTTTCTTAATAAGGTAAAACCCCAGAGTGTCCAAAGTGCATGCTGGATGGAGAAACTCCTGGCTGCGGGTGAGCCACTCTGACCTGATCTGGAGGTGACGTTATCTCTGATGCTGTGGCCTGAAATTGCCAGTGGCCCTTCCTGGCACATGTGACAGTCAAGAGGGCCAGCATGTGCAGACGAGAGTTTACCGAGGGCTAAGGGAAGGCAAACAGGAAACCAAGATGGGAGGGCATGTGACCCTCAGGACCACCCTAGATTCCTCCACAGGGGTCCCTCTCCTGGAAACCACGGCTCCAGGGGATCCACAGAATGGTTTGTGTGTGCACGTGTGTGTGTGTGTGTGTGTGTGTGTGTGTATTTTTATTACTGGTAAGGAGGGCTCCTCATGTGTCCCACTGGGTTCTCAGGAGGGTCGGTGAACTACCAAGAAAGGTTAAAAGCCAGGATCCCTCCAAACCACCCAGCTCAGTTCCCAAAGCCCTTCCATTTTCTACTATCCAAGCCTTACCAGGCAGTGTGACCAGGCCTTTGTCCCTGCACCCTAAAATTCAAATTTCACCACTGTCACCCCCAGCACCATTTCTCCTGTGGGGGTGCCAGCCCCTTATCAACGGCAGAGAACCTGCCCGTCTGGGCCTCTCCCTGTGCACATTGGCTACCCTCAACTTTCCCCGCAACACAAACCTGATTTGAGGGCCTGACCTGTGCTCTTTGCCCAAGGGCCAAGATTCTTGTTGCAGCTCTGGGCAGAGGTCATCTGGGAGGAGCCCTGGAGGTCCTGAGACTGGTCCAGATCTAGACTCCAGAGAAAGCACAAGCCCTGTCTCTGCCTCCCAGCATCTTCCCGCTCCTGTATCTCCGAGGCCCTGCTCCTGTCCAACAGTCTGCCCTTCCCCAGCCAAGTGACCCCAGGCCCAAGGCCATGTCTAAGATGACCTCTCCCTCCCAATGGCCCTGGACAGCCATTCCTATGGGGAGCCCCTAATGGCAATGCGGGGGACCATCATTCACAGGGCCTCCTCTACACAATCAATTCTTTGGGTGAGCTGGGACCCTCCCCTTGGCCATGAAACCAGAGGATGGCTTTGAGAACCTCATGTCACCTGGTCTTCTCCTGGCAGGGTCATTGCAGAGATGTCCCTAAGACATTTCCCATTAGAACTTCCCCTGTTCAGTAAGTACCTGTGTCTTGGGCCCCCTTGACTTTTTGGTTGACGCAGTAGCCCTTTTGGTCCCTTCAAGGCTCTGCTTTGGAGCCTTTAATAACCACATTTTGCCAGGGAACTGGAGACTCACGCCAGGGGCTGCCATGTTGGTAGATTTCCGGAGAAAGTCGGGCTCCTTTTTACCTCTAACTTCTGATGGAATCGGGACACCTTGGACTTGTGATTCTGTAAGCCCGGACTTAATGTAACTGCTATTTCATCAGCCTTAACCCGAAAACACTAGCACCCAGGAGGGGCTCAGTGAAAGCCGCTAGAAGTAGAGGCCCTTGGTTTTAGCTGATGTTTCTGTGTACAGGCATCCAACAAAGGTGAGCTGGGTGTTTTGAGTGTCTCCTCCACACCAGGCACTGTAGTGGGCTCCAGGGATACTGAGATGAACACAGTGGGGACAGTCTTCAGGACGCTTATGGGCTCAGGCACAAAATGGAGAAAGGGAGAACATTCTCCTCTCGCCGAGCTTCCTTGCTGACTACACAATTTACTTGGACTGACAGCCTCAATATTTATTTCACAGTCTGGTGCCAACTTAGCAATTATGGAACAGCGCTCCCGGCCCCAGACTTCCCATTGGATAATTGGCAGCAAGAGGCTCTTCTGAGGGCTTGAGACATGTGTGTGCACTGACCACAGGCATCGTTCGGGTTAGGCAGGCGTGCCTAAAAAGTAATTAAAGCCTGCTGTTCTCCTTTCTTCTGTGGGTACCGCCACTCCCCGTGAGCAGTGAAGATTCTGATAACGCGGAATGGTCATTCAGGCGTGCAAACCCTGCTGAGTGGTGTTTCCCGCACCCTGCCATGGCAACGCTGCCCCCGCTTGCCGGCCCCCACTGCCCCCCTGACACTGTTGCCCCCTTTCTGCTGCAGCTGGAGCACTTCAGAAGTCAAGTCATCAAGGCCACCTATGGACGGGCAAAGCCATTCCCAGACAAGCCCGTCACCGACCAACAGGTTAGTCTGCTGTCCCCGCCACGTGGCTCCTTCACTTTCCTCTTCTTCTTCTTCGGGGATCTGGATTCCAGACCCTGGGAGCATATGTTTCTGTTTTTGTTGGTGGCATATTTTTCACACTGTTGCTACACCATAAAGATTTGTTTTGATTTTATGGGATTTCCTGGCTTTTAAAGTAAAAGCCAGTTAAAACTCCCTTGAAATGTGTCTGTGAAAATCAAATTAAACCATTCGGGCTTACTTCTGGTCTCCAGACATGCATGTTTAGCCTCCATTAGCACTGGGAGAAAGGGAGCCGCCTCCCCACAGCCAGTGCATTCTGGCGCCTTCCTTCAGAGGAGAAAAGTTGACAGTGGCAGTGAGGGCGGACGTCTGGCTGTAATGATTGCCTTGCTGTTCTTCCACTACACTTTCTAGCCACCTGTATCAAAGTACAGATGGGAAAATGTGCTGTGGGCTGCTTTTAGTGGGCGTGGAAGAACCTGACCTGCTGCTTATGAGCCCATAATATCAGGCTCAGTGTTCTGACTCCCTATACAACACAGAAGAATCTGGAACAAACTCAGGGCCACAAGACAGGCCTTTGGATCTTAAAAATAATCTTTGATCGGCCGGGCGTGGTGGCTCACGCCTGTAATCCCAGCACATTGGGAGGCCAAGGCAGGTGGATCTCCTCAGGTTGGGAGTTCGAAACCAGCCTGACCAACATGGTAAAACCCCATCTCTATTAAAAATACAAAGTTAGCTGGGTGTGGTGGCGCATGCCTGTAATCCCAGCTACTTCAGAGGCCGAGGCAGGAGAATCGCTTGAACCTGGGAGACAGAGGTTGCGGTGAGCCGAGATCAAACCATTGCACTCCAGCCTGGGCAACAAGAATGAAACTCCGTTGAAAAACAAAAAAAAGAAAAAAGAAAAGTCTCTGATTCCGGGATTCATTCCCTGGTGACAGGACCGACGTCCCCCTTGACAGCCGTCGCCGAGACACATCAGGGCCTCCGTCCTCCCGTGCTGAGACAGGGACTTACGTTGCATCTCTCCCCTCTCCCATTCCCCTTCCCCCAGAGCCCCCCATCCCTGTATGTTGCATCTTTTTTTTTTTTTCTTTTTCTTTTTCTCACCAGTTAATAGAGAAAATTGCCCAGGTCACTGAGGACAACATCAATCTTCAGCAGAAAAAGTGGACCCTACAGAAAGAAACCCAGCTGAGCAACTCCAAGCAGGAGGAGACCACCGAGAACATCGAGAAGCTGAGGACGTCGCTGGACAGCTGCCAGGTGGCCCCTCCTTACGCTGTCCACAAATGGTCGCTTTGTCTAATGTTTGTGCTGCTTACTTGGGAAATTGCCCAGCTTTTTTGGAGCAAGTTAGGCAGAAATGCTTGGCTTTTCTGTGCACTTTTTCCTCTTGTTAGAGAAGAAAAAACAAAGGGCCTCAAAAAATGCCTGCCAGAAGAACTTGGCGTGTCCACAAAAGATGCCTGAGCATCTTCAAATACGGACTTTGAGCGGCCCCTATCCCCAACCAAAAAGACTTTTTTTTTAAATAGCCCCCATGTTATTTCCAGAGAAACCAAAGAAACGTTCCTGCTTTTTATTTACATTTTCTTTTTTTGGCCCAGACACAAAAGGCGGTTGCCACACCATTGCCTTTGACTCTGGAGGAGCAGGGACCAGAGGACTTGGCCACAGCCCTGTGGCCCCCACCCTGGAGCATGGCTTATCAGAGCAGGCGGTGGCTGCTGCTTTCTCTGGAAATCAGCAGCTCCTGTTCGGGGAGTTCGTGCAAATGCTGGCTTGTCAGCACCCTTTCAAATCAGGAAACCACGCTTTCCGACCAGCTTGTGTGTTGATCTTGGCAGGAATTCTGATGAGTGGAAAAAAGAAGTAGCCACATTTGCTTCTCATTGCAGCCAAACTGTTGATGGCACTTTAGCTTTGGGGTTTCATATACTTAACAGTGGGTTCACTTTGACCATCAAAAGTCCAAATTAGAGTATAAAAAAAAAAACTGTCAAAACATAAAAATTTTTAAAAAGAAAAAACTGAGCCCTCCCAAGGCGGCCAATATGTGGCGCTGCCTGCTTCATTGCAGAGTCAACGTTCCTCGAAGGTTCACGTTAGGGCCTATTTCTGGCCACAGGGCCTGGGCTCCTCATGATCTCACCTCTTCGCAGGCTTGCATGAAAATGTCCTGTTGCACCAGTGACCTGAAGAAGGAGGTCGACCTTCTTCAGCACCTCCAGGTGAGCCCACCTGTCTCGGGGCTCCAGAAGGTGGTGCTGGACATCCTGAGGCACGCCCTGTCCTGGCTGGAGGAGGTGGAGCAGCTCCTCCGGGACCTTGGGATCCTGCCCTCCAGCGCTGACAAAGGTTACTGGGACTTTTTTTCTCACATGGTTGCATGGCTCTAAAATGTCGTGTTGAATCTCAGCATGATGGGACATCTGTTGAGGAAGTCATCCTGGGTATCTGGCCAAGTCTACTCCTTTCTCCAGAATCCCCTGCTTCTCTGCTTGAGGCGTAATTTTCCATTAAAAAAAAAAAACGCACAAGTGAGACATGATAACTGAAGACAAATGAAACAGAAGCAAAAGGAAATTTAAATCAAAATTATGCAAAGTCTCATTACGCTGTTTAACTTCCAAGGCATTTTCCCGTGGAAATAGCCACATGATTCTAGGCACTGACCCTGTCTATGCCTCAGTTTCCGTATCTGTAAAATGAGGCTAATAGGGAGTACCCACCCTTTAGGGCTGTTGTGATCATTAAAATGCATGAATACATGGAAAGTACTTGGAACAGTACCTGGCACACAATAGGCATTACTGAATGTTTATTGACTTTTAATTTTACAAAAAAATAGTGTCACATTATCCCCAATTTTCTTTGGTTTGTTCCTAATGGTACATCATCCACGTCAGTAGACATAGACCTACATCATCGCTGTTACTGACGGCGGTTACTGATTCCATTGTGTGGGATGTGCCATTGTTTTAGACAATCCCCTATCATGGGCACTTAGGTGATTTCCAGTTTTTCACACTCATAAATCATGCTGAGATGAACACTGTTGCACATATACCTGCTTATATTATCTTTATTTTCCTAGAAGTGGAAAGGCATGAACCACTTTCTTTCAACAAAGATTGATTGCATGCTTGCTTACTAGACGCCACATGCTGTGCAGGGCAGAGACATAATGGGGTCAGGAACAGGTAGAATCAGGTCGTGCGTATATGGTTCACTGTAAAATTCTTCCAATATGACCATACATTTGAGATTTTTTATAATAAAATACTGGGCCCTCAAAGAGCTTATGATCTCAGGGGGAAGGATGAAGTGGGCATTAATGGGACAATCACTCAAACAAACATGAAAGCTGAGTGGCAACAGTTGCTATGCAGTGCAGGGTTCGACCTGGTCAGGGAGAGCAGGGCATCTGCAGGATGCATAGGAGTTGTTTGCCAAAGAAGGGAGAGAGAGCATTCCGAGCACAGGAGCAGTGTGGTGGCAGGGGGAGCATGGAGAGCACAAGGGGCTAACAGAAATGGGCACAGGGCCAGGCAGGCTGGCCAGGGAGCTTCCCAGGGCCATGATGTGGGGTCTTGCAGGGCCCTGGTGAGCAGCTTTATTCTAAGGGCAGAGATAAGCCTGTGAAAGGTCTTAAGTAAGGAGCTGGACAAGCTTGCATTCTGAGACAATCATCTTGGTGGCAGGCGGACAACGTCCTGGAGGGTAGGCAGCGTGGTGCCCCAGGAGCCACTTGGGAGGCTGCCATAAGAGATGACAAGGCCGCCCTAGGGCAGGGTGGGGATGGAGAAAGAGAAGATTCAGATTCAGGAGCGAGTAAGAGGTAAATCAACAGGCCTCAGTGGTAGGACTGGAGATGGTTGGAAGGAAGGTGATAGAGGAGAGTCAACAGGACCTCTTGGTTTCTGGTGTGTGTAAAAGACAGATGTGATTTCTTCACTAAAACTGAGAGCAAGGAACGCAAGATGAGGCCCAGGTTTGAGAGGGAAGAGAAGTGTGAGGTGCCTGTGAGACATCTGAGATGAGATGCCCAAGAGACAGCTGTTTACCCGGGTGTCTTGTCCGGATAGATAATAATGATGTATCCCCAGCACCCAGAGAGCACGTGCCACACAGCAGGGGCCTAATACATATCTGTGGGATGGAGGAATGAATGGGAAGGAAGTGTAGATGGATGG